CGCGCCGGGCCTGTCGGGAGCCGCCGGGCCGCGCTCCGGTGAAGCAGGCAGATGCGGGCTGAGGGCTGAGGCTCGCCAGGCGCTGCGCCGCTGGCTCCGGAAGGGCGGCTCCCTGAGGCTGCGGACCGAGGGCCGTCCCACCCCACCTGGAGCAGGGGTGTTGCTAAAGGCCCCTGGGGGTCTGGGTCCCGTTTTCCTGCGCCGACCCCACCTGCACCCCTGATTTTTCGGAAGCTCCTGCCCATCCCTGGGCCTCTTTTAAAAAAACAAAACAAAACAAAACAAGCCCTGGCTGGCGTAGCTCAGTGGATTGAGTGCGGGCTGCGAACCAAAATGTCGCAGGTTCGATTCCCAGCCAGGGTACATGCCTGGGTTGCAGGCCATAACCCCCAGCAACCGCACATTGATGTTTCTCTCTCTCTCTCTCCCTCCCTTCCCTCTCTAAAAATAAATAAATAGAATCTTTAAAAAAAAAAACAAAACAAAAACTTTTTATTGAACTTGCTGGGGTGACATTGGTTAATAAAATGGCATAGGTACAAGTCTGTAATTCTCTGGGCCTTGTAACTCGGCCCACAGCCGCTGGGCCTCCCTGGGAGCCAGGTGCCCATTTGGGCCCAAGGCGCGGTGGCCTGGGCTCTGCTGTGTTCTCCTGCCTGAGGCCCTTCACCCCACGTCTCACCTGGGTGGTGTGGGCCACCTCCTGGGAGACCTCATTGTTTTTGTCACAGGGAAGCCCTGGGGGTGTCCTATCGGCATTTGGCGGGGGGAGGGGGAGCTCACGGTTGAGCCAGCTCTGCCGCCTATGCCCCCCCCTCACGGGGCGGATGCGTCCCTGTGACACATTGCTTCACGTTCTGCAAATGTCGTTTCAGCCAGGAGCACGCAACCTTCCAGAAACCGAGCCTCAGGCGGTCCCAGCCACTCAGGTCCAGGGGAGGTGAGGGAGGGACATCTGGTCCCAGGGAAAGTCCTCTGGCCCGAATCGGCAGTTGTCACCCAGGGTCATCGAGGCCTTCTGTGTGCCCCGCGCCGTCACCGGCGGGCACGCGCTCACCCACGCTGGCACGTGGTCCCTGCGGGGGGGGGAGGGTCAGGGGCGGACGGGCTGAGTGCTCAGAAGCACCCAGCCCCAGAGGAGAGAGGGTGGTTAACCTTGGCCCGCTCTGCCGGCCACACCGTGGCGGCCAGCAGAGGGCACTGTGGGGCCCTGGACGCCCCAGTCCCATCCTGGAGGTGGGGAGGGAGCGGGACTCCCTGGGAGCAGTTCCCGGGGACCACGCTGTGTGAATGCACACCCTTCTGGGGCGAGCCTGCGTCCCGGCCCCTCCAGGGCGAGTTCCTTCGTTCATTCAAAACAACCCAAAACAACGCAGAGCTCGGCGGCTGCCCGCTCCCCATGAGCCCTGTCTTAGGGGCTGGAGTCCCGAAACCAGTGAGTTGTTGTAGAGGGGGGAGGGGCAGAGTGAACACGGCGGGGGGCGGGGCAATAGGAGGCCCTGGGCCTTGACCCCGCCCCCCAGGCCTGCGTCCGGCCGCGGAGGCGCTGGTGCTGAATTGGAGAGACCTTGGTGGCCCAGTCCGCAGAGGGGCCCCCCCTGAGATGCAGGAGCCCAGGGTGGGCCTGCTTCAGCCTGGAGTGCCGAGGGCTGAGCGGGAGGCACTGGCACCCCCCCCCCCATCCCTGCAGGGCGGCACTGGCTCTGGCACTGTCGGGCTCGCCAGAACAGTCGCCGCCATTCCATTATCTGGGGGCCTGGAAAATCTCTATTCATGAAAGCAAACTTAAAAATGAAAGAATAAGTCTGTTCTTTTAAAAAGCAAATTGCGACACCGGAATATTCATGAGCTGTGACTTGGCGGGAAGTGGCCGCGGCAGGGAGATTATGGTTTAGTTAAGTCAGCAGCAGAGGGATTTAGGGACCTGTCCCTCCAGGAATGGTTGTTAATTCTTTCCTGTTTGCCGGGCCTGAACGGAGCGTTTGATGTCATCATTCATTAACCTTGAGGCCACCCGCATGTCCCGGGCCCCCGCGGCCTCGGGTCCCTTCTCCCTGCCCGCACATGCGGACCGGAACTGACCTCCGCGGGACCACGGAGGGTGCGTGGGAGCCGGAGGGGGCGCGCCTGGTGAAGGCGCAGGGCCAACCGCACATCAGGAAATGCCCGAGACCTCTCAGCGCGAGGCCGAGTAAGGTCCCCCCAAAACTCATGTGCACCTGGAACCACAGAATGACTTTGGGTGGAAATCAGGTCCTTGCAGATGTGATGAGCTAAGGGCCTCAAGATGAGGTCTTCCTGGCATAGGGTGGCCCCAAGCCAACGACTGGGGTCCTTTAAGAAGAGGAGAGGACAGGGGCACTAAGGAGACCAGGACACAGGCACAAGGCCCAGGAAGATGGGGCAGCGATTGGAGCAAGGTGTCTGCAAGCCCAGGGACACTGAGCATGTCTGATGACACCAGGAGCTGGGGGAGGCCTGGGACAGGCCCTCCACCGTCACAGCCTCCCAGGGGACCAGCCCTGCTGACTTCTGCACCTCAGACACGTGGCGTCCGGAACCAGGAGAGCAAATTCCTGTCGCTCGATGCTCCCTTCTCCGTGAGGCTTTGTTCTGGCTTCCCCAGGACAGCCCTCCATTTGGTGACAGTTGGAAGGTAGCCAAATGGCCAAATGACGGGGGAGTGGGGACCGGCTGGGGGCCTGCAGCTGGCTTTCAGTAGGTACGGGGTGTGACAAGGTCCTGCCCCTCCTCTCTCTGGGCCCGAGGTCTCCCACTGCAGGGTGTGAGGACAGAGCTGTGCTTTTCAAACCGGGTTCCTTAGTGCACCCCCAGGGGTGGTGGGGCCACTTCCTCTCGTTGGAGTGCCTCAGTACTCCCACCTCCTCCCTCTTGATGCCCGGTGGGCTCCTAGGCATCCTTCATTGCCCCATCCCACGACCTTCCCCTTCCCTCAGGGTGCTGATGGAGCTGCTGTGTCCCCAGAGTTCAGCACACACCCACTCAGAGGCTCCCAGCTGCGGCCCGGGATTCGTGGAGCCCGCTTGTTCCCTGTTACTGGCCGGTCCCAGTAGGACCACAGCTCGCCCCTGCCCTCTTGTGGCCATCTTGAGGAACTGCTGGCAGCTGCTGTTGAAGGGTTTGGGATCTCGAAGGGGTGAGACACACTCCAGGCAAGGAGAAGAGGGCTGGTGCCCCCGGACCCGGCTTGGAGTCTGCTTTGCTGGGAGACCCCCTCCAGCTTTCCCAGCCAGGAGCTGAGTGGGTTGAGGTGGGAAGGTCACAGGAAGGGGGGTCGTCCCCTTGGCTGCCATCACCCAGGGCAGTTCAGGCTCTTCCCAGAGACTGTAGGTGCCAGGTGGGAGCCGGGACTGGGGTGGGCCCTGCCAACTCTCCCGGATTCAGACCTGTGCATTCAAGGGCCTCCCAGCTATGTCCATTTGGGTGTCCACGTGCAGTAACCACGTGCAGGGCTGGGCTCAGCACGCTCCTCACCCCACCTTCTCCTCCTCTTTGAGGTGGTGGCCCCGCTGTGTGGCTGCGTGCCCTGCCACCCAAGCTGGGACTGTTCACGTCACTCCTGCTTTTGTTCTTACTTATCTCGCCCCGCACCCTGGGTCTCCTCTGTCCGTGACACTATGGAACAACCGGCGCTTCTGCCCCCTGCAGGAGCCCCATTCCTGGGCAGCGTCCTGGTCTCCAGCCTCGGTCGTCGCCCTGTCTTCCGTGAGCAGCGGGCGTAGCTCCTGGCAGCAATTAGTAAGCACTAGAGCGGACAAACTGAATTTTTGCATGCACCGGGATGATCGTAGGAGGACATGAGTGCAAACCGGAGTGAAGAGTGAACTCCCACAGGTGCCGGACGCCGGGACGGGCTCCCCATCTGGACTGGGAGCCCCTGAGGATGGGGCCTGTGTCTCGCCTCTGCTCAGTGGAGCTCCCCCCACCCACCCAAGGACATTTTTTTCATTGCTTTTAGAGAGAGAGAGAGAGGAAGGGAAAGAGAGAAACATAGATTTCAGAAAGAAGCATTGGTTGGTTGCCTCCGCACACGACTGGACCGGATATCGTAGGCGCCGGACCGCGGATGGAACCGAAACCCCAGCATGTGCCCCGGCCAGGACTCACACCTGCACCTCTTCCCCTCAGAATGAGGCTCCAACCCATTGAGCCACACTCGCCAGGGCTCAGTACAGGCTTTTTTACTGAATACAATGAGTGCGTGCAGGTCAGGCACGCGGTCTGGGTCTGGCCCTGACCCAGATCAGCACTGACCATTTGTCACCCCGCAGGAAGTGTGCGTGCTGAGTCCCCGGGCAGCTCCCTTTCCCCAGGTGCCCGCAGGCAGGCCCGAGTGAGTCAGAGGCTTTGCAACGGCGCGGAGGCCTGAGAGCGGAGGTTCGGGTCGGCGGGAGACCCCGCGCTGCTAACAAGCCCACAGGGGCTGCTGCGGGTCGGGGACTGCAGTCAGAGAACTCTGCTCAAGAGCGGTGTCCCCGCCCCAAATAAAACAGCAGCAGCCAGATACACAATTTAAAATTTTCTAGAAGTCACCTCTTTAAAAAGTATCAAGAAACAGGTGAAACCAATTTCGATACATTTTACTTTACCCTGTGTACACAAGATATTAGGTCAACATGTAAACAATGTTAAAAAATTGATTTTACGTTGTCTTTTTCTGCTAACTCTTGGAGATCCGTGTGTGCATTTTACATTTGGAGCCCAGTTCAGAACTGGTCAGCAAACTCAATGGTTCCGCGTGGCCAGTGGACCTGAGCTGCAATGCGCAGACAGGCAGGTGCCGCAAGAAGGGAGCGACAGGAGAACTACAACTCCCGGGAAGCTCCGGGCGCACACTCTGACGCATTTCCGTCTGTGCCTCCTAAGAGAACCACATATCCCGGCATGCCCTGGCGCGCCCTGTGACGCACATCCGGCGCAGAGGCTCTAGCGCGCCCCCGGCGGCTCGGCGGCGGAGCTAGGCGACAGTTCAGGCAGCTGCGAGTGACAGGCGGCCGGCCGACCGAGCCGGGGCGGGGCGGCGGCGGCCCGCGAGCGAGCGCGCGGTCGGCCTGGCCCCGCCCCCGCCCCGCCCCGCCCGGCCTGCCCGGTGACCTTCAGGGCGGCGGGCGCAGGCCCGGGCGGCGGCGGCGGCGGCGGCGCGATGTTCGTGCAGGAGGAGAAGATCTTCGCGGGCAAGGTGCTGCGGCTGCACATCTGCGCGTCCGACGGCGCCGAGTGGCTGGAGGAGGCGACCGAGGACACGTCCGTGGAGCAGCTCAAGGAGCGCTGCCTCAAGCATGTAAGGCCCGCCGCCGCTCCAGGCCTCCGGCCCCCCACCCTCCGCCCGGGCCGGGGGAGCGCCTCCCGCCCCTTTTCTCAGGCACCCCGCTTTTCTCGACCCCCAGACCCGGGCTCCGGGCTCCGGGCTGAGTGTTTTACGTTCCGCCCTGTCGCCGAACTTCTACAGCCCGGGAGGTCGGGGGAGGTTGGGAACCGGAGGCAGGGAGACGCGAAGTCGCCGCGCGGAGCTGGGCCTCCCGGTTTGCCAGCATTTGTGCCTAATTGCTGCTGGGGTGAGGTTCCGGGTTCTCCAGCAGCTCCCCCAAGGGCTGGGAGTCAGTGCTGCGGAAAGAGGGGACCCAGAGCGGGGAGGTCACTTGCCCTTCCCTGCAGAGCCGGCCCCTTGGAGCCGTTTCCTGCTGGCTGGCGTGCCTGCCGGGACCTGGCTCGGCCGCCGCCAGTGCCTGCCCCAAGGCTGGAATCACTTAAAATAGTGTGTGCTTTCCTGTGGCCTTCGCGTGGGTAGGTGCGTGGGTCCAAGGAGCAGGATCTCCGCGTGGAGAGACACTTCTTAAAGTCGATTCACGTGAAACGCTCCTCGTCCAGTCAGCTCCTTAGGTCGCTGGGTTTTGGAGCTAGTCCTTGAAGGCTTTATCTCCGAACTTCTCGGCCCGGTAAGGTGGGGTGGCATCTGCCCGTGACTCTGGCTGCCTAGAGAAACTCTATACTTGGCTGGCTGTCAGAGTTTAGGTCGAAAGAGCCCTGAGCCGTTCAGGGTGGATCCCACGGGTTAAGAAGTCACACGTATCTGTACTAGTGTCAAGGTGCTTCGTGAAAATAATGCTAAGGGTTCTCTCCGAGGACGAACTTCAGTGCCGGTGACTGCCCACCAGGTGGTTCCGAGTCACTTTCGTGAGTGTGGTTCTGTGGGCAGGTCTGTAGCCCCCGGGGCGGGAGCAGTGCTGCCTTGGCCTTCCTGTTCGTTCTCATCTGGGAGGGGGGGCTCCGTGCTCACTCTCGAAGAGCAGGGACGTTTTGGCCACTTTCTTGGCTTTCTTCTGACCCCAGTCGGTATGGCTTCCCCCTGGGGACAACCACAGGACAGTGCTGGTGGGGAAGGCTGGGGACTCCTCGAGGGTGGGCTTGCAGCCACACGTCCGGGGCCAGGCTCCTAGTGGGCCCCAGGGAAGCCGGGGGGTCAGGGGAACGGGGGGAACGCGTGGGCAGTCCAGACCTGCGGGGACGTCCCCCTGCCCCACCCGGCCAGGGCAGGCTTGGGGAGTCTGGGGGCAACTCACAGTGGTAGGGATTTATGTGACTGTTCTGGTGTTAGCTTACAAAGGAGAACAGGAAATGAGAAGCGTTTCATGGATCCACAGATGCTTGCACTTGTCGTTAATTTGGCAGCTCAGCGAGATGCTGATTACTTTGTTTCTGATATTGAGTATTCCAGCCGGTGTTCAGATGTATCATTTGGGAATTTTCAGGCGTTATCCTACTTTAGATGGAGATTGTCCTCCACTCTGCGGCCTCCCCGGTGTGGAGGGTCTTGCCCCAGGGGCATCTCGCACCCAGAGAGCTGGCTTACGGCGGGGGCCTGAGAGCTGAGCCGTCAGAATGCATTCCCGCCTGTGCCCGCCTGTGCCCGCCTGTCAGAGGCCTCGGGTAGCAGAGGGAGGCTCGCGTTGTGCGCTGGAAAGTCCCCCTGGAAGCCAGTGCCCAAGTGTCCTGCTGCGGCGGCCGTGCGGCCGGCGGGTCTGAGCTCCCGTTCTTCCAGGCCCCCCATCACTCTGAAAGGAGATAACGCCGTTGTTGCTGCCCCCTCTGGTTTTACACAGGTGGGGGTCACCGTGGTGGTCTCCAGCCTCCCTCAGGTGGGCGTGCAGGAAGGGACACAGGGGCCCGTCTTGTGTGAGGTTGATAGGAGTTGGTTGATATGATTTTGAGAAAACAGCGCTGTGGTGTGCTGGGGTGTTTCCGTGTCTTGCGGCCCTCCATAGCATTGCAGCCCCTGGCATGGCGCCTGCTGGTGTGGCTGGGGGCATTTCTCAGGTCACGTGAAGGTGTATCTTCAGGTGACAAGCTACATCCCGTGTCAGAGGAATCCCAACTCTGTTGTGGGGAGGAGGCTGGTCCGTGGGCGTGCGAGCCCCGCTGCCCGGCCGTCGGCTCTGTGGGGCACTTCGGGGCTGTACCCCGGTTTGCTTGAGATTCTGCTGAGAGCAGAGAGGCCCAGCGAAACCCCGGCCGCCGCGTGGGTGACTCCCACGCGGGTTTGCCCTGGCACACCGGCGGCGTGCTGCAGAGTGCGGGTGTTTTCAGGAGCCGGTGCGAGTGTTGTCCTGGGAAACCTGCTTCGTGGACTGTGTCCTGAACTTGTCAGACCAGCTGGCCGGCACCTCTGTAACTGGAAGAAGCACGCCCAGTATTTCTGGGAGCAGAGCCGTCGTCGAATTCTAGGGGAGAGGCGGGTGGTTCTTGGCGCTGTCGAAGCGGTGGAAGTGTCACCTGCTGCGGGTGACCACCCCCAGCCCCCGCCCGTCTCGCCCGTCTTGTGGGCACACGTGACGGCCCCCGCAGCCCCCACGACCCCTCTCCCTGCCTCGGCCTCAGACAGCTGCACATTGCAGCCTCTCCTGAAATGCCGGGCTGAGGGGCGAGGGGCGTGCTGAGGTTTCCTTTCCTTCTGGGGAGAGCCGTGTGCGCTGCTGTCTCTGAGCCTCCGCTGTGGTCAAGGAAGGTCGCTTCCCGTGTGGTCTGTCTGGCTCAGCACGGGACCCCGGGCGGGGGCGCATCCTGAGTGTGGCCGCAGCTGCCCTCCGGTCCAGACAGCGCTCCTGCTCTCGGCCGCCGCGCGGCCGGCAGGTGCTCAGAGCGCCCCGGGACCGGGGACCGGAGCCTGGCCACCGCTTCCAGGTGCTCGTGCTCTGCCCTCTGGGGGAGGGGTGCGAGGGGCGAGGAGGGGTGCCCTCTGCGTTCGGAGCCCAGGCTGCAGGCGCGTCTGTGGGTCTCACCTGAAGTGTTCGGGTGCGCCCCACGCGGCTCAGCCCGGGTCTGGCTCAGGCGGGTCGGTGGGCAGATCGCTGGCCGAGGGGACCAGGGTGGTGGCACTTCCTTTGACTTCTGTCACCGGCCAGAACTCTTGGATCTCCTTTATGCCTTACTTCTTAGTCAGTGAGAAAAGCCGTGATCTTCCTGGTGTGGCCTGGGCTGCCAGGTTCTCTGTCGCCACTGCTACGGTTTTTTCTTTTCTGTCTTGAAATACTCAATTTTCTCCCCAGTGCGCTCATGGGAGCTTAGAAGACCCCAAGAGTGTAACCCATCACAAATTAATACACGCTGCGTCGGAGAGGGTGCTGAGCGACACCAAGACCGTCTTGGAGGAGAACATCCAAGACCACGGTGAGAGCCTCCCAGGCAGCGGTGGTGGGGCTGGGGGCCCAGGGTCAGGGCGCCCACAGTGCGAGCGCGAGTTTGCATGGGGCCTGAACGAGAGACCGGGTCTCCTCCCTTCACTAAAGCACACGCAGCGTGCGCGATGGAGTGGCCGTGAGGGCCGGCAGAAACTGAGATGCACAGGCAGCGTCCAGCTCAGGAGACAAACGTGAACTTTATTCTCAGTTCTGTTTCAAAGCGAACCGCAGGTCTGCAGAGCTGCTTCGGGCTGCGGGGGGCCTGCAGGGGCGGTGTGGGGGGCTGCGGGGGCAGTGGCAGCAGTGGTCTCAGACGCCCCGGGAAGGCGCCCTTCCTGCGCACGTCCCTCCCAGTTTTCTGTTTGGGGCGGGAACTTGGTTGTCCGTATCTCATTCAGAGGATGATTTTGATTCTGGGTGCCTTAATTAATCTGTTTGGAAAATGCCAGAAGAGGCGGAACCAGGGGCGAGCTGACCCCCACTCCCCAGACTCCCACATGGCCGTCGGAGGGGGTGCAGATTGTCCGGCTCCCCCAGGTTTCTGGACAGCCATCAGGGCTGGGCTGCGTGTGCCTTCTGGGTCGCCGCCCCCTCTGGTAACCCCACACCGGCTCTGGCCACGCCCGGAGTCTGCGTGTGAGCCGGGGCACGCGGACGTGGGGGCTGCGGGAGGGGGGGCTGCTGCAGATGCCCCGTCTGGGAGGTCCCCCCAGGGCCCTGCTCTTCTGGCCTGGGCTCGTCCAGCCGTTCGTGGACATAAAACAATAACCAGGTTTTTTTTTAACTTTTGTTTTTTAAGATTTTATTTACTTATTTTTAGAGGGAGAGAAACATCCATGTGTGGTTGCTTCTCACACACCCGCTGCTGGGGACCTGGACTGCAACCCAGGCAGGTGCCCTGACTGGGAATCGAACCGGCAGCCTTTTGGTTTGCAGGCTGGGACTCAGTCTGCTGAGCTCCACCAGGCAGGGCGAACAATACGCCGTTTGATGTTTTTTTTTTTTTTTCCAGATGTCTTATTGTTGGTTAAAAAGCGAGCTCCGTCTCCGCTTCCCAAGATGGCTGACGTCTCAGCGGAGGAAAAGGTGAGTTTCCGAGTCCGGAGCTGGAGGTCTTTGCTCGTAAAAGCCGCCCTTGGAAGCCCTGCGGGGGCGGGGACGAGCGCCCGGGGTCACTCGGGGGCCCCGGGAGACCCGGCTCTGTGCTCAGGCCCGGGGCAGAGAGGAGGAGCTCGAGGTGCTGTCGTGGCGGGGCCTGTGCGTTGTGCCCTGACATGCTCGCTGCGTCTGCCCCCGAACCCGTGCGGACAGACAACTCAGGGCGTTGTCGCCGCTGACGACGCCCCACAAAACAAGGAGCAGGCGCACGGGGGGGGGGCAGCGAAGGGCACACTCACCCCTCACCTCGGGGGGCCGGGGTGCGGGTCCGCGTGCACTGGGCGAACCCCTGGGGGGCCTGGCCGCCCGTCTGGTACGGGGCGGAATCGGGGCCCTGGGATTCGCGCTCCCCCGCGCTGCCCCGCCAGAGCCCGGAGTCCGCGCTCGCGCCCGGCCGCCCCGAGAGCTGGGCGCAGGAGGCCGCGTGCCCGCTTCCCGTCTCACAGTGGGGCCCAGGCTGCGCCCGGGGCCAGTGTGCCGCTCTGAAGGGGCAGCCACGCTAATTTTCCAGCTGTTCCTCTCGCATCGTCACACGTGAGATTTCTTCCCCACGCTCTGAGGTGCTGGGGGGAGCGTTCACCCGAGAAAGCAGGCCCCCCCCCACCGCTGGGCCGGGGCGGGGAGCGTGAGGCGCTGCCTCCGTCTCTCCTGGGGCCCGCGGCCAGGGCTGCCCTGCTTATCTGCCGCCCCAGCTGGCCCGGCCCGGGCTGCTCGGCCCATCTCGGGAGCACAGACCCGGGCCTGCCCCTGCCTGCGCCTGAGTCGGGCCCCGGAGCTGCCCCACGGGGGCCTCTGGGTTGGACGGGCCCGCTCCACCTCTGCCAGGCCCTCCGCCCCCGCAGCCCCCTCTCCTCTGCACGCGTTTGCGAGATGCACGTCGTCGTGAGATGTTGATGCCTGCTTTCGTGAAGCGTGAGTTTTAAGTGAGAGTAGTATGTGTATTCAAAAAGCCAAGTAATACCATAAATCTTTCAGTAAAAGTGGGTAGCCGCCTCTCCCCACGTGCCCAAGCACCCTGAAGGCAGGCGACCCACAGACCTCTTTTCACAGCCCCGTGGACAGCGCTCTCCCGAGGTGTGCGGGGCACTCTCAGTCCTTGGTCGGTGCTGTCGGCTTCTGGGCGGTCTGGGCACGGCCCGGCCCCGCCCCCGCCCCCGTCCCGCCTGGCCCCGCCCCTGACCCAGCCCCGCCCCCGCCCCGGCCCCGCCCCCGCCCCGTGTTAGGTGGTGATGCTGGCCAAAGAAGAGCTCAGAGTCCCATCGGTGTTACCGTGTGAGTCTTGTTTTCCGCTCCGAGTAAAGCGCGCCAAGGTTATCCTTTTTTACACAGCTTCCTTTTTCCTTACCGCCTCATCGTTTTGTTTGGTTTCTACGGGCTTACCACTGATGTTTTTCAAAATCTTCACCAGAATTGGTAAATCCCTCTGAAAACAGGGTCCCAGGCACGAAGCCCTGCCAGGTCCCATGTCTGGGAGACCCCGCCCGCACCCCCCTCCCAGGTCCGCCTGCTCCAGTCGCCTGCAGGCCCGGGCAGCCCGGGTCCGAGCCTCTGGTTCCTCCGGGTCTGCGTGCGTGTCCTGTTGCCACCGGACAGTGCCGCAGGCCGACTGGCTGAACAGCAGGCCCCCAGGCCACTGGGCCCGCAGTCCGGCCGCTCACCGGCCGTCGCACGGGGTCCCGGGAGTGGAGGCCCGGGCCTGGCAGGTCTGCGTGCTCCCCCGGAGGCCCTGGGAGAGGGTCCGCTCACGCTCCTCCAGGGGGTCGGCAGAACTTGCTTCTTGCAGCTGAGGGGCTGAGGGGCTCGTTTCTTTCTTTCTTTCTTTCTTTCTTTTTTTTTTTAAAGATTTTATTTATTTATTTTTAGGGAGGGAAGGGAGAGGGGGAGAGAGAGAGAGAGAAACATCAATGTGCGGTTGCTGGGGGTTATGGCCTGCAACCCAGGCATGTGCCCTGGCTGGGAATCGAACCTGGGACACTTTGGTTCCCAGCCCACGCTCAATCCACTGAGCTATGCCAGCCAGGGCGCGTTTCTTTCTTTTTAAAAAAGATTTTATTTATTTTCAGAGAGAGGGGAAGGGAGGAAGAAAGAGAGGGAGAGAAAGGAAACATCAGTGTGTGGTTGCCTCCTGCACGCCCCCATCCGGGGACCTGGCCGGCAACCCAGGCATGTGCCCTGACTGGGAATCCAACCGGCAACTTTGCGGTGTTTGCAGGCCGACACTCAGTCCACGGAGCCGCAGCAGCTGGGGCATAAGGTGTCGATGTCTTGTTGGTTGTCCGCGGGCTGTCTTGTTTGCTGCCCTCAGCTCCTGGGAGTGCCATGTGCCTTGCCATACCCCGCCCCCCCCGGCCATGTGCTCAGAGGCAGCAAAAAGATTTCTCCTGTGTGGGTCCCTCCGGCCGGAACAGCCAGCCTGATTGGGTCAGGGCCACCGAGGGCCACCTTTCCTTAAAGTGGGCCGAGCCAAACAGTGTGACCCACCCCCGGAGTGAACGCAGGCGCTCGCAGCCCAGGGACCGCACAGGCGGGACTGGGGGCAGACCGGGGGCCCGCCGGGTGCGCCAGTGTCCGGGAAGGTGGGCGGTGTGGAGGCCCCGACGTCCGGTCCGTCTGGGCTAAGAGCGCTGGCGGCTGCCCCGCGTGACCGAGGCCTTGGTCCGGGTCTGCCGGGTTCTGGGGGGCGGGTGGGCGGGCAGCTGTGACCGGCGTCCCCCGCAGGCCCTCCCTGGGAGTCGCTGGAGCTCTGCAGTGTCCCGGCTGCCTGGCTGGCGACGCGGGAGGCTCCTGTGGCTGAGCTCTGGAGGTGTTCTGGCCTCTCTCCTCCTCCTGCAGCGCCGGCCCACGGGCATCCCCACGGGCGTCAGGGCCGACTTCGCCTTCCCGCTCCCGCCCCTCTCTCTCGCTGGGGCTGTGGGTTTCCGTGTCTCCCCATGGGGCTCTCCCCTCAGGACGCCTTGCAGTGCCCAGCGAGCCCCTGCCTCTGCCGTGGGCACCGTCTCCTGGCCGCGGGCGCGCGTCTCCTCCCCGCACCTCCCTCGCTCCCGCGGCCGCTTCGCCGGACCCGTGTTGTCCGGGGTCTCCCTCCGCCCTGGCCTTTCCCGCGCCTCGGCTCCCGGGCTGCCCCGCCCCACAGGGAGCCCCGCAGGGCTCACGGGTCCTCTCTGCCTGGCAGGCGGGGCTGCTGGCGGCTTGGCCGTGGGACAGAGACCTGGTACTTGCGCCGTCCACCCCACGCTGGGAGCCACGCACGCAGGGCCTGGCCTCGTCCTTGGGGGTCAGGGCGGCGTCTCTGCCTGCCGCGCCGGGGCCTCCTGGCCCTGGTGCTCCCGTGGCTTCCTCCTGGGCACCGCTGGCCAAGCAGGTTGCTACGGGGCACCATCCCGGCCCCCACTTCCCCCAACCTGGCAGGATTCCCTGCTCCAGCCTGGTAGTTCCCAGGGTGGGGTGGGGAGGGTCCGCTCCCTCCCAAAATTGGTACCTTCACTTGGGTTTGTTTCCTGTCCCGGCCTTTTGTGCTGGTCAGTTTTCTGCCATCTTCATTCCTTTACCAACACTTTAGTGGGGGCGGGGGGGCATGCTTCCGGCCTGCCTGGTGTGACCGCTCGCTTGAGTCCCTCTGAGGTCGGCCCGGCCTTGCCCTGGCCCGGCGGCCACTTCCCGGGCGCTCCCCCTGTCCGCACTGTCCCCTGTCCTGCGCCGCCGCAGTCTGCTCACGGAGGCGGGGGTGGCGGGGGTCGCGTCCCGAGCAGCCTGTCTTCTGCTCCTGGGGGTGTGCACAGAACCCTCCGGAACTGCCCCCGCCCCGCAGCTCGAGGGGAGAACCGACCCTGCCCGGGTCGGAGCTCTGCCCGTTCGACTCGCGGGCTCCCGCCGCTTGCCGCTCTCGTGTTCCTCTCTCACTCTGGTCCCGTTTCTGCGCAGAAAAAACAGGAGCAGAAAGCCCCGGACAGAGACGCCATCGTCCGAGCCACCGCCAGCCTGCCCTCCTGCAACATGGACCGGGCCGTGGCCCCGACCAGCATGAGAGACGTGAGTGTGGGGGAGGCCTCGCCGCCCCTGTCGCCACGGGGGCGGGGGTTTGGGGATGGTGCCGTCCCTGCGGGGCGCAGCCCCGAGTCCTTGAGAGAGTGGGGGAGCTGGGAGGGAGCTGGGGGGAGGGAGGTGGGATTCCACGGACTCCCTGCAGCTTCCCTGTGGACCTGCGTTTCTCGCAGCGAGGGGTTTTGGCGGGTGCCTGAGGGCAGGGCGGGAGGGACGGGTGCACCGGGCAAACGTCAGCGTTGGTCGGAGCTCGGCAGAAACCCGGGCTGACCTCTGACGTCTGCGGGGCTCCTTGTTGCTCGGTCACCTCGCTTTGGACGCTGCAGGGGAAGGGGCGGAGCGTTCCCGGGGGCTGCCGGGGACTCGCCCGCACTCGGGGCGCCTGCTGGGCAGGACAGGGCCACCCCCACGTTGTCGGTTCCCGTCGGTCCCTGTCCCAGCTAAGGACTGCCATGAGCCCTGCTCCCGGGGAGCAGCAGCCTCTGCAGGGTCTCTTCCAGACAGTTCTGTGTTGGCTGGGCACCATGTGCATGTCCGCCCCCACGTGGGGTCTCTCACACGATGGCCGAGGCTGGCTGTGGCCCAGGGGGGGCAGCTGACTCCCACTCCCACCCATGGCGCAGGGCCGGGTGGGGGTCGTGCCCACTCCACCCCGCAGACCCTCGTCCCTGGTTGAGAGGCTGGATGCCTCAGCAGACGGGGCTCAGGCGGTCACCTTGTGGCCAGGGAGGGGGAGAGGCCGCGTCTGCAGCCTGAGGGCAGTCTGTCCTCAGCTCTTGGCTTTCTCCGTGGGGCGAGGGGTGTCACCAGGGTGCTCTGTGTCGCCGGTCACAGGGCTGTGTGTACAGCCCTGTGCACAGCCCCTTCCCCGCCCCGCCCAGAGCCCCCCCCCCCCCGAGACGTGCTCCCGGCCCCCCTCCCACCCTCTGCCTCCTCGGTGGGTCTGAGGCTCCCGCGTGAGGAGCAGCACAGTCTGGCTCGCTGCCCCAGGGAGTGGTGTGGGGTGTGGCCGCGGGTCCCACTGCCCCCGGCGGGCACTTGGTGAGGTGAGGCCCTCTCCCCCTCTCCCCATGCCGCAGTTCCAGACGGAGCTCCGGAAGATCCTGCTGTCCCTCATCGAGGTGGCGCAGAAGCTGCTGGCGCTGAGCCCCGGCGCCGTGGAGCTGTTCACCAAGGCCAACGGTACGCGCGGGCCCGCGGGCGCCTGCCCCCACAGCCCCGAGGGTTTCTGCTCTCCCTGGACCGGGGCCCGCTGCTGCTCGCCCCGCTGCTCCTGTTGCGGCGAGTGTGGGCGGCCTTGCCGCCGTCCTCTGAGGTCCGGCGGAATCGCCGCACGCGCCTGCTGCTCCGGCAAGGCCCTGGAGCTCCCCGGGGGCTGAGAAAGCGTCCCCGCGGGCAGCCCTGCCAGGGCCCCTCAGCGGCCACGTGTCTCCCCCGCAGCAATGCTGGACGAGGACGAGGACGAGCGAGTGGACGAGACGGCTCTGCGGCAGCTCACGGAGATGGGCTTCCCCGAGAGCAGAGCCGCGAAGGCGCTCCGGCTGAACCAGTACGTCGGGGCTGCCCTGCCCTCGGCGCGGGCGCCGGGGCTCGGTCTCGTGGGTCTGTCCCGCAGGTGACGCCCCTCCATCCCGCACCCCCTGACTGAGGCGTTTCCAGTGTGTGAGCTGTTTTCAGGAGGCCCCTTCAGCGCGAGTCCCGGCGGCAGCGGCACCGGGCATCTCGGGGGGCGGGGGGCTGCAGTCACTCGCCCTGCTGTCCCTGGGGCCGGTGTCAGACGGGACTTGGGGTGAGGCCCGCCCCCCCCACCCCCAGCAGGGGCGTGGCCCTCTGCAGGTGTGTGGCTGCGGTCACTGGTCTCTGTCCTCGCTCGGACCTGAGATGACCTGCCAGCCAGAGGCTGGGCAGTGGCCACGGTCTTCTTTGCTGTGCTCCCGACCTCAGTGCTGGGCTCCCTTTGCTTCCAAAGCCGGTTTCCGTGCTCCGGCCCCGCCCCGGGGCAGCTTGGGGCGATGGCCGGAGGGTCGCATGTACCTGTGTGGAGAGTTTCCTCGCGGGGGCGGCGGCTCGAGCTGGGGAAGCCGCCAGGACCGCAGTGGCGCTTCCTGGGGTGCGAAGGGAGTCACGGGCCCTCGGGGACACCCCGAGAGTCCGACGGCCCCCGCTGTCTCCCAGCATGTCGGTGCCCCAGGCCATGGAGTGGCTGATCGAGCACGCGGACGACCCCGCCATCGACACGCCCCTCCCCGGCCAGGCCTCGCTGCGCGAAGCGGGGGCAGAGGCTCCGGCCGAGGCTGCCGCCGGCTCCAGCGAGGGCGATGAAGAGGCCAGGGATGAGCTCACCGAGATCTTCAAGAAGATCCGCAGGAAAAGGGCGTTTCGGGCTGACAGCCGGGTACGTGGGAGTGGGCCCGGGTCCCGCCGGGTGGACCCGCCGCTGGTCGCGTGAGGCTGCGTTGCCTGAGCCGGGCCACTGGCCTCGGGCTGAGCCCGCCAGCCCTGGAGAGCGACAGGGCTGGGTGAGGCCTGGGGCTGACTCGGATCCCCGGCGTCCAGTTCCCAGTTCTCCCCTGGGTGTAGGGAGCTGTGTTCATGTTTCCCTCTGAACAGTTCGCCCGCTCGCCTGCCACCTGCCGAGGAGCTCACGGCAGGTCTGGGCGTGGCGCAAGCACCTGTGAGCCGTGGGGGCTTCTGGGGGCGCCACCCGGAGGCTGGGCTGCTGCACCGCGTGGGGTTGCCTTCGGGGCTGGGCAGTCGTGGGGCCTTCGGGAGGAGGGACCTACAGCCTCGGGCACCTCTGGACGCACGTGGCCCGCTCTTGCCGTCACTGCGTTTGTGACGCTTCGCTCTCCTGCTTCCCGCTCTGCCCCTTCACGAGGCTTTCGCGCTCCGCGGACGCTGTCCCCACTGGAGGCCCGTTCCCCGAGCTGGCAGCGTGCCAGTTTTGGTCCTCACGTCCCGGCGCTGCCGGTGCAGCTCGCTCGCCCGTGGCCTGTGTTTCCGTGGGAAACAGGTCCCACGTGGCCCGCTCGTTCAGCACCCTCCCCGGGTGACTCACAGCCGGTCCTGCAGGTTGGGCAGGACCTGAGACCAGGGGCCACCTCCCTACAGTTCATCCTCGCAGGGCTGCTGGGTGGGCCATGGTGTGGTCGGAGCCCCGCCCCGAGCGCCCCCCGCCCCTGCAGAGGCACGTGCTGTGTCCAGCTCCTCCTCTCTTGTTGTGTTCTCGGGCTGGGGCGCCTGGCGCTTCGACTGCCGCCGCGTCCCGGTGCGCGGTGTTAAGGGGCCTGTGGCTTCCCCTGCAGGCCGTCATTTCCCTGATGGAGATGGGCTTCGAGGAGAAGGAGGTGATGGACGCCCTGCGCGTGAGCAACAACCAGCAGAGCGCCGCCGTGAGTACCGGCCCGGCCCGGCTGTGCGGGCGGGCGGGCGGCTGTTCTGCGTGCGGGGGACTCATGGGGGGGGGGCGTCCTGCATCCGGTGACTGTGGTAGACGAGCCACTATTTTGCGTTTGAAGTGAGACAGTGGAGTGGATGGTTCACATTGCATAACCTTTTTTAAATACGAAAGGAATTCGGGGCTCTCTTTCCAGAAAAGTACGTAGCCTCTGAGTGTCTCGTTCGTTTACTTCCTCAGCTGACTTCCCAGCCGAGTCCCAGGCTGTGAAGGCATGTCCGCTGCCGACAGCACTGCTCGGGGCTGTGCTCAGTGGGGGGCTGGCGACGGCCCTCCCCCCCACCCCCAGAGCAGCGGTCACACGAGTGGGACAGTGCGGCTGCGCTTCAGACCATTCTGGATGCGCCCGACGCGCTGTCACAGGGACTTTCACACCCAGGGCTCCTTCCACGGGACGGAGCCCGGGGCCTGTGCTTGTCCGAGTTCCCTGCAGTCTGGGCCGGCCGTGCGGCTCCCTGCTGAGTGCCGGGGGAGGCTGCGGCCCGCAGCGGAGCTGCAGCACCGAGAAAACCGGGCGGCGCTTCCTGCCCAGGCAGCCTGCTCCAGCCCCTGAGTCTGGGCAGCGTTGCCTCCGGTTCAGGCCCCTCCCAGTCAGAGCCGCGCCGTGCCCGATGCTGGTGACGGTCCAGAGGCACCGACGGCCGCCTGTCGCTCTTGCCTTGCAGTGCGAGTGGCTGCTGGGAGACCGCAAGCCCTCCCCCGAGGAGCTGGACACGGGCATCGACCCCGACAGCCCCCTCTTTCAAGCCATCCTGGACAACCCCGTCGTGCAGCTGGGCCTCACCAACCCGAAAACCCTGCTAGGTGAGTGTGTCTCCTTCCCGTGTGCCAAGGCGGGGGGGCGGGCCACCCAGAGCGCGCAGGGGTTCTGAGGGAGGGAGAGACACCGCGGCCGCACGCCCAAGGCTGTCCCCGCGCGCACGGCGGCCTCCTCCGTGTGGCTCCTGCCCGTGTGGCGGTGGGGCCGCACACGCTCCCGTGCGACGACGGCCCCGGGCGCTCTGGGGAGCCAGAGCCGGCGGGCACGGCGGGCAAGGCGGGCCCGGGAGAGCCGCCTGCACGTGAGTGGGGCGTGCCTGGGGCCCGGGAGGGACTTCCTCGTCATCTTTTGCCTATGAAGTATAAGATACGTACAAAAACATATAACAAGATACACAATTTCAACTTAAAAAAAATAAACCAATGAGTATGTGTGTGCACCTACCGTTCAGCTTTTTTTTACTTATTTTTTTTTATTTATTTTTAGAGAGGTAAGGGAAGGAAAAAGAGAGAGAGAGAGAGAAACATCAATGTGTGGTTGCTGGGGTCCATGGCCTGCAACCCAGGCAGGTGCCCAGACTGGGCATCGAACCAGCAACCCTTTGGTTTGCAGGCCGGCGCTCAGTCCACTGAGCCGCACCAGCTGTTACCATTCTAGATGGAGTGAAACACTCATTATAGGTAGTTTGGGAAAGTGCAGGAAGAAGGAAGCACCAAGGAGGTGTCGCCTCTCCCCCCATCGGCGGGCCTGTCGCTGTTCGTGAGCCCTGCGCTCTGACGTCACACTGGGGGCCCGTCCTCCCGTCCTCCCCTGCTCCCACGTCGGCGCGAGGGTTCCCAGTGGGCGCGGGGGCTGCGTCCTGCGGCGAAGTGACACATGGCGCCGCACACGCTGCTCGCCTGTCCGTAGCCACGGGGGGGTTCTTCGTTCCGCTGCCGTGGGACCCGGGGCCGCGGCACAGCTCTCTGTCCCTGCTCCGGGAGCAGCTCGCGCCCCAGGGTGAGCGGCCAGATGCCAGGCGGCCAGGCGGCAGCGTGGGGCGTCTGAAGTTCTGACGACACCCCGCAGCGCGCTGTTCCTGTGACACACACGGTGTGTCCTGCCGCCCTCGTCGTAGCGAGCCGGACACGTTTGTGCTGACCACGTGCACCTCTCTGCCACGCGTGCCCCTGCGTGTCTCGTCTGCGTTTCCACGGCGACGCCAGTGCCAGAGCGCTGTCGGCAGCTCCCTCCCCCTGTGTGAGGGCTGTCCGTCCGCCCCTGCTGGTGGCCGCAGACCTCTCCTTTGCCCCTTCGTTCTGCGTGGCGCTGTCTGACAGGCACGGAGTGAGAGAGACACGCAGGGGAGAGCCCTCCCTCGGGTGGGGTCCACCCGTGTGTTTTCACACGGAACTCCGTTCCCGCCTTCCTGGTCCCCTTCCCCGTGCCGGGGCAGTCTGGCTGTTTGCCGGGCGGAAGCGGGGCTGGCTCCCGGCCCCGTCTCGGGAATGGCCCGCCTTGGCTCCTGGCGTCCGCGAGGTGGCCGAGCTTCGTGTTCCGTTCCCCCGCGTGCCGGGCCGTCTTTCTGGGCTCCCTTTCCGACCCTGCTGCCTGGTTGCCAGAGGGTTTCAGTCAGCAGGACCCCGCTGATTGTGTTCAGGCCGCGAAGCTTCTCCGCCCCACGCGGCCCCCCGTCGCTGGGGCCTCCTCGAGGACATGCTCTCCATGGAGCCCGGGAACAGGGCCACCTGCCCGGGGTGGGGGAGGGCGGGCGGGGTGACGGTGACCGCGAGGCCCCCCTGCCCGCGAGCCAGGGCTGCTGGGGCTTCTGCTGGAGTGCACCCGTGGTTTTTGGGAAGACAACTTGGCAAAACTGTCCGGAAAATCAGAGTTTTCGCTGTGAAGTTAAGTTCTTAAGATGGAGCACCATGCGTTTCCCCGTGGGACGGCATCGTGTGCACGGCTGGCCGCCCGGTCGGGGTCGGAGGCGGGGTCCTGAGCGAGTCACCGCCCGGACTGGTGGTGAGGCTCCTGACAGCTGTCGCCAAACCGCCTTCCAGAACCGGCGTGCGGGGGACACACACGGGTGTGTCGCTCACTGCAGAGCTGGGGACACTGTCCTCGACTTAGAACTGACTTGACGAGCAGATCAGACATTGTGGGTTGTGGGCAGCAGGGGTCTCCGTGTGACCGGGCCGGCCTGGCCCCACCTCCACATTAAGAAGCTGCGGAAAGTCCCTTCAGTGCACACGTGTGCATGTGCACGAACGAGCGTGCACGTGTCCATGCTTTGTGCGCACATCATGTTTCCATGTGGGTGTGCGCCTGTGTGTGTGCGAGTGCACACATGTGCATGCTGGGTGCCCACACCATGCACGTGAGAACATGTGTGTGTGAGTGTGTGCATGCCTTTGTGTATGTGTGCCCGCGCGCGTGTGGAGGGCGTGGCCATCCCGTCAGCCTGGCTCTGCTCTCCCGGCAGCGTTTGAAGACATGCTCGAGAACCCACTGAACAGCACCCAGTGGATGAACGACCCGGAGACGGGGCCCGTCATGCTGCAGATCTCCAGAATCTTCCAGACCATGAACCGCACGTAGGCCGTGCCAGCACTCCCGCTGCCCCCGTGGCCCGCCAGGGGGTCGGTCTCACATGCACCTGCCTGATTCTCATGCAGCTGTGGGGACAGCGTGCGGGCTCCGCTGGACCGAGGAGGGGACAGGCCAGGGCTGGAGGGGATCCTGCCCGGACCCCGCCCCCGAGCCCGCCCTGATTGTCCTGCTTCCATCTTGCGGCTCAGACACTTCTGTGGGCTCGCGAGAGGTGCGGCCCCGCCTCCGACAGTGTTTACAGACGGTGGTTCTGGCGGGGGCTCCCCCAGCGCTGCCTGAGTGGAGCCCCAGGAGCCGCTTGCAGAGCCACCGGCTGTCAGCAGACGGCACGTCCCGGTCCGCGGTGTTCGCGTCCAGCTCTCTGGGCCGAGTGGGGGACTCGCAGACGACCCTCCTCCCATGAATAAACGCTCCTTTCCTACCTTCTCCGGCGGTGTGGGGGTGATTCTGACGCCCGACTCTGACACCCCGACACCGCGTCGGCCAGGCCCCGAGTTCTCGCCGGCGTGGAGGGAGCAGCGGTCACCCGAGCAGGTGCCCACACCCGCCCGAGTCTCCAGTGGTGCGGCTGGGGCACCGCCAGACCGCTGCCCCGCCTCCGGCCGCTTAAAAAAAAAACTACCCGTAATTTAGAATGAGAAAGAAAGTTAACCACCCCCACTTTTTTTTTTTAATTCTCATTATTTACTGCTGAAAGGAGTTGGTTGTCAGACGTTTTTTAAGCTCCTCTTTGGGAGCGGCCCCACCCGCCTGACCTGCCGCCGAGCTCAGGGCTCGCCCACCTCGGCCGGGGGAGGTGTCGGAGGAGGACGCTCCTTTCCACCGAGTGAGGTTGTTGCACTGTTCTTGAGACCCAGACTTAAGACTCGGGGACAGAAGGCCGAGACCCACGTCTTCCCGGCCTCACAGAGACGGAAGTGCCCCCCCCCGAGCTGCGGTGCCAAGGGCTCTGCACGCTGCTGCCTGCTCGTGTCTGTCTCCTCCTCCTCTTCGGGGACTGTCCTTCGGGGGGGCACCCTCCGTCCAGGGGGCACCGTCCCTCCAGGGGGCGCTGCTCCCAGCAAAGCCACTGGTGGGCTTGGGGCTCCGCCCTGCGACCTCCCTGAGAGCAGAGCCACGCGGGGCGGGGCCTGGGGGGCTCTGGGGTTTTCAGACTCCGACTCCGTGGAGACGCGAGGCTGGTGGGGACAGGGTTCCGGCCTGGCCCCCCAGCGAGACAGGCACGTGGGCGCCAAGGTCAGCGCTTCTCTGGCAACTGGACGCAGTCAGAGCAGTCGGGACCGTGGGCCGTGGTTGGAGAAATTCTGTGCCTGTCACACACCGGGAAACCAGTTCCGGCCTTGGCGGCCAGCCCCACTCGGACTGATGCGCGGCGGCCCCGGCAGCCCCCACCGCCGGGCTGCGGCCGCCCGGCTTCTCCTTCCTGTGCCCAGACCAGGGACTCGGGAGCTGCCAGTTGGCACCCGGACCTGGAACCGCTCCCTGTCACCTCCATGTTGCCATCTGCCACCCTCTCAAAGTGGCCCCGGGAGACGCAGGGTTTGGGGCCTGGCGGCTGTTGGAATGTCCCCCAGAGTGGCCGTCCCTGCACACTGCCCCATGGGAACTGAGGGGCTATGTTAAGTCAGGTGGGCCCCGAGGAAGTAGGGGTGTCCACCCGGGCCAACAAAGGCACAGCTCCCAGCTGCCCGGGCACATCAGCAGAATGTATCCTTTTCAAGAGCATTTGGCCTCCAGAATTCAGGGCTCGGTGAGCGGTTCTGCCCAAGTCCCTGCGTCCCAGGGGCAGCTGGGTGTGAGTTACTTGGGGACCCTCTGGCCAGAGCTGAGTGTTCCAGAAGGTGCCGGCCCTGAGCACGGGGCAGGGAGACCCCAGCGTGGAGTTTGGGGTGACGGGGACTGGATGCATGAGCCGATGTCCACGCCGGGGGGCCCCCCATCACTCCATAGGGCTGGACCCCAGGCCGGCTTGGGGCTCTGGCAGCAGTGTCCAGTTGCTCCGTTGCCCGGTTGCTCTGTTGCCCGGTTGCTGGCCGCCCGACGGTGCAGGGCCGGAAGCCTGCAGCACGAGGACACGGGGCAGGCTGGGGGCCCCGCAGGGGGAAGGAGCCCACGCTTGTCTCGGAGAGGAGCTCGGGGGAACCACAGGGAAGTCCCAGGCACACCCGCCCCCAGGAGCCTGCGGGGGCGAGAGGGACGGCAGGGAATAGCCGGGACCGAGGGGGCCCGGGTCATGGTGGACGGGCTAATCTGGAAGGTGGTCTGTCGCGTGGGGAGGAATGGGCACAGTCCCTCTCTCCCGGGAGGGCGTGCGTGGTGGGTGCTCCGCTCCGGCAGGCTCTTTGAGCCCTGGGCGGGCGGGACGGGGAGCAAGGCCGGGCCTGGGGTCCGGCTCCAGGCCCTCACATCTGGTGACGCTCTCGGCTCCTGAAAGGCTGATCTAACATTCAGGTTCACACACAGAAGCCAGCCCCAGGGACAGCAGGTGCGAGCAGGTGGGTCAGGGGTTGGAGCCCCGGACGGTCATCGTGTGTGTCCCACGTCGTCTGTGCTGAGGTCCCTCACACAGTGTAGGCAACTGTCAGGGTTGCATTGGGTCCCTCCCCAAAGATGCCGGAGTCGAAAAGCCCAGGACCTCAGGACGTGACGGCCCTTGGAGATGGGGCTTTCACAGAGGTTCCGGTGGGCCCCGATCCCACACGCCCAGGAAGGAGGCAGCCAGGCGGACACAGACACAGGGCCAAGGTCTGTGCAGATGCGGGCAGAGAATGGAGTGATGCACCACAAGCCAAGGGAGGCCAGGACCGCGACAGCGCAGAAGCTGGGCGGGGTCTACAGCCATGTCCCTCAGCCTCAGGAGGGACATTGGGACACCTGATGGAGAGGGCATTTGCGGTTTAACAGGCACCAGCATCCCTGGGGACTCACTGTCCTGCCTCTCGCCTCCCTCCATAGTCTCAGGGCGCAGGCGACCCAGCAACGTGTGTGGCTGATGCCACAGCCGGGGCCATCAGGAGCAGGCAGGTGTGTTCACAACTCTACCCTCCAGGTGCCTCGTCCTGGCGGTGTGTGACATCCCGGAGCCTCCTATCCTCCTCCCGTTAAAGGAATACGGGGGCAGCCAGCCTCTGGTGACTCCAGCGGCCCTTCCCATTGCCCACCCGGAAACATGAAAAACAACTCATTTATAAATCCCCAAGAAGTGTGTCACTGGCACCTTTAAAAGGGTACAAAATGAAGCTTGCAGCCTTAACATGCACCCTCTCCTCCAGGGTGCCGGCTGGGCTGGCTCTGTAAGGGGCTCCCGCTCCCAGGAAGGGTGAGGAGGTGCCGGGTGCCAGCCAGGCACAGGGGCGGCCTTCGGGCAGGCCCACCAGCAAGGGTCCCAGGGGTGCACGGGTGTCCTCAAGCCCCGTGTCCTCCGAGGGGCTGACACCATCCCCAGGGGGTGAAAATCCCTTCTCCCTGGGTGGGGGGGGGCGGAGGGGAAAGACATGCAAAGAAGTACAGTGGTCCTCCACAGCCCAGCCTACCCAGCAAGTCTCCCCTCGGGTTCAGCTTCTCTCCCGACAGGGAAATGAAATTCTAATTAATTAGTTAGTTATTCTTCCTGGGGCAGTGGTGATGAGGGAGAGGCTGGGAGAGAGCCCCTCCCAGTGGGCCTGGGAGCACTCAAGGCCAGACATCAGGGCGCCATGGTGTCTGGGTGTTGGCCAGACCCAGGTAGGAACGGCCGGCCCCCCTGCGTGCATTCGGGGTGGCAGTTTTCACTGGAGATGCCCACTGGTTTCTCCCAGGAGCTGGTTAGCTGCGGGACCCTCAGGTCCACGGTGACTTGGAGGACGGAGCCCCTGCTGGCCAGGCCACCCCAGGCCAGGTCTGCGCCCGGTTCTCCTGCTGCGTCCAGGGCTCGCCCTGTAGTGCTGGTGTGCCGCAAAGCTGGTGAGCGCCCCGCTGCGCCCACCCACAGCGAGCACCCGATCCCACTCGGACTACTCAGAGGTGACGAGCATTAGACAGGTCTAGCAGTGAAGCTCCCGGACCATGACCCACAGGGGCCTCAGCCGTGGGTGTGCGAGGGAGGAGCACATGGAAGGGTGGCCAAGGAACAGCATGGGCTGGGCCAGCGAAGAGGGGGCAGGACCGAGTCAGTCCCTGGGAAGCTTTACCAATGGTGGGTAAAACTCGCTCATCGGGGCCAAGTGGGGGGCTCCTCCAGCCAGCCCATGGGCTCTTCTCTGGGCAGCGGAGCTGCTGAGGGCTGGCCAGGCTGAGGCTGGTCTTGGAGCTGGGGCTGCATAGTTGGGTCCTGGGTTCGATTTGTTCTTTTAATAGGTTATATTTTTTTAGAGCAGTTCTGGGTTTACAGAAAATTCGAGAAAATCCCACGGATTCCTTGCCTTCCTCCCGGTCCTGGTGTGGCTTCCTGTGTCACTCACAGAAGAGGTCAAAGGTCCTGCTGTGCCAGAGCTGCCCCCTCCTCCCCTACTCCCTACCAGTGCCTCTTCATCTTGGGTTCCTAACTCAGTGGCTTCCCTATTTCCTGCATATTAGGCACCCCTGTCTCAGGGTTCTGGGTCTGCCGTGCCCTGTGCCCACAAGACTGCCCCCCAGATATGCCCCTGCTGGCCCTCATTCCTTGTGGGTCCCAGCACTCCTGCCTCCCTCTCCCACAGGGTGACCTGCTGCCTCCTGTGCTGCGCAGCCGCCATCAGGCTGTGCCCCCGCCTGGCTCTGCAGGGCAGGAGCCCGGGGGTTTGCATTTCGCTCTCTGCTGTGAGCCAGGGAGGCTCATGATGTGTATACGTCACTTTGTAATCCGGAGTCTTCTTCCCCGGTTAGGGTAGCTCCGTGAAGGGGACGCAGGTAGCACCTTAAAACGCTCTGGAGGCTGGGTGCCAGGCTGGCTGTCACTTCCAGGACACCTTACTCAGAGGCAACGGTTTCTTCCTGCTTTCCTCTGGGCCACAGGTGGCAAACACAAGGCCCCTGGGCCGAACCCAGCCCTCCACCTTGTTTTATCCAGCCGGGCACCTCGTTTCTACCTGGCGGCAGCACTGACTCTCTTAACTGTTAAGGAGTAGCTACATTTATTTAGTTACACACAGCCCTAAAATTACATTTGTCCCTTTGAAGGCAACCGCAAGGCTGATGAAAATGAGTCTGAAAATGAGTTTGACATCCCTGCTCTAGGCCTTGAATTTTTGGACCCTGGTGGAGGGCACAGGAGCCAGGAGCCCTTTCTGTTTGGCTGTGAGGTCCTCCGATAAACGCCACGCGCACCCGAGGTTTAACGGTGTTACAATTACCAGCTGAACACAGACCCTCGGATGCCGACTCTGTCAGGAAGAAGCCAGCCCCTTCCAGGGGCTACCTCTGAGGCTCAAACCTACGGCTCCGCTTGGGAGGACAATGCAGTGTGTCCG